ATTCGTGCCAACACACAACAAAGCTGCACACCTCAACAATTTCATCATGGTAGGTAGGCATCTATCTCGACCGGTTGCTAGTGAATGCGCTCATGGAGTCCTAGGATTCAGGCCTGACTGCCAGCCAGCTTCTGGCCCCGAACGCAGAGTACGCTGGAATCGGATTGGTAGGAGGATTACCGGATGTTCCTGTACAGGGCTCGTTTACTCTTGAGGAAATGCTGCGGCACCACCACTGTGTCATTCATGTCCTTGGCGAGGATGTGGTTCGTGAAGGAGACTTGTCAGGCAAAACGACGTTGCTCGACTTGCTTAAGGCTATCGGCAAGCTCCTCAGCCTATTCGACGCGGCGAAGGCTACATACTTCAACAAGAAGCAACCTCCGCGGCACAGTTCGGAACAGTGCATGCAGCAACCGGGTCTTGTTTGCCTAGAAAGCACCATCAGTATTGGAAGACAGGTGCTCAATGAAGAGGAGAGCGCTTTGGTCGCAAGAGACATCGTAAAGTCTTCGGTCATGCAGCTCGCAAAGGAAGTTACGGAGTTGAAGAAGTGGTTCTATCAGTTCAGGAGTGTAGGCAACTCCGTCGCACGTTCAGATGGGGATTCCGTGGAAATAGGAGAAATGGAAAGAGTTCTGACTCGCATTTGGGCCCTTGTAGCAGGCATAAGGGAACAACGATGATCATGACGGCCGTGGTCGCTGCAGTGCGCATCTCAAGCTATTCTGTAGAACTTGCATGGAGCGCAAACCGAACACGTCTTTGGTGAGACCTGCATTGTATTAAGATAATGAGCAATGGGCAGCGATGGAAAGGGAACCAATGTGTCATACCGAGCCACCTCATTAAACGTGGCTGTCTTGAGGTGTTTGAGTGGGCAACAGAAAGGGGGGAGCTGGTTCGTTGCTACAGAACGAGGGGCAAAAAGACCATATATCTAAAGAGTGCTCATGTGACACAACATGTGACCTTGATCGATCGTTCCCATTAGCCAACATCTGATCAGCCGTTCGAGGCGCAGGTCTTGTTTCTCTCCAGCCAGACGCTGTTCTGTCCAAGTTTGACGTGCAGCCCCGTGCGCCTGCTCTAACCGGTGTAGCAGAGACTGTCTGGGAGGTTCGTACGCCGAGTAGCGTACGTTAGCTTGAGACTCAGTGAGTTCGAAGATGTGAGCGCGTTCGAAAGCATGAGAATCTATTGTCAGCCCTGGCCATCAGCGCGATTGATGAAAGACACAGTGAGACGCGACTTTGTTCGTTGTTGCGAGCTATCGGTAGTGGGTATACACAAGAGAGGAGCTGAACACATCACGATCCTAGAGAGGCACATGTATGATACGGATGTAAACGTAGTAGAATAAGACGTAGCCGCGCGAGGTGGTGATTAAAGTGCAATGTGTATTATGTTGTGCTTTCGTGATGGCCTGCTATAAGGCTACAAACAGTGTGTCTTGTATGGCGCATGCCCAATGCAACTAAGGTGGGAGCTGCTTGTCGAGGTGAGGAAGGAGCGCCAGACTACCATATGCAGCACACGTGATATGCTCGCCTTATCAGCAGCTACATGTGACTTTTACTCATGAATAGGAATCCACTTGGGTCTCATTCTTCTTTCCTACACATAGGTTCTACAATACTGTACTGAGTACACTTGCTGGAATTCGTCTACTCAGAGGTCTTATGTTTCGAAACAGAACGAACTTGTGGAACGAACTGTTCATTCAATCACTTTGCCGCACTGACGAGCCTGCAGTGCATGATATACCTTCAGCATGACATTCGCCTTAGTACCAATCTCTAGCGCCTTGCGACAACAAGATCCTATTGAACGATGTCAATATGTGTAGATGTCCAAAGAATCATCCGATGTTTCTAGCTTACCTAAAAGCGCGTCCAGTTCCAACGGCCTGCCGGCACGCAAATCTTGCAATATGGAGGTCACCACAGGCGGGGCCGAGAAGAAGTCTTCGACGGTGCTGTCCACAGTCCCCTGTGGGATCGCCACCCCTAACGCCAGTCCCAGCTCGTAACACCCCTCTGCCAATGCACGGACCAGTCCTATCCCCGAAGCAGAATCCAGAACGTCCCTCGTGTGAGCGTTCATTGGAGCAGTGGTACTGTTGAAGGTGACATTGATGATCAGTTTGGTTCACTGCTCTATATGAATGTCCCGCACGGCAATCATGACGAATCTAGGGAAACAGGTCGACGAAGCTTCTGCTTCGCGTCTTTCACGTAGGCGTGAGTTCGAGCCCACTGTTCCAAGGCATGCGGCCGAATGTGGGACGTTTGAAGTA